AACCACTTTATATTATACGTATTCTAGCTGACATTGATTTACCATCCCTACACACAAACAATATGATATTACATGCATTCTATCTGTCATAGTTTAATTAACCTTTCACACAAACCACTCGATATTACATGTATTCTACTTGAAAATACCTGCTCACAAACCACTTGTTATTACCTGCATTTTAGTTGTCATTGATTCATTATACATTTACACAAACCAGATGATGTCATGTGTATTGTAGTTGTCATAGTTTCATCACTTCTTCACACAAACCACTTTATATTATACGTATTCTAGCTGACATTGATTTACCATCCCTACACACAAACAATATGATATTACATGCATTCTATCTGTCATAGTTTAATTAACCTTTCACACAAACCACTTTATATTATACGTATTCTAGCTGACATTGATTTACCATCCCTACACACAAACAATATGATATTACATGCATTCTATCTGTCATAGTTTAATTAACCTTTCACACAAACCACTCGATATTACATGTATTCTACTTGAAAATACCTGCTCACAAACCACTTTATGTATAACATGCATTCTAGCTGTCATAGATTCATCATACATTCACTCAAACCATTTGACATTTCATGTATTATACCTGTCATAATTTCATCATCCCTTCACACTCTTATTAGAATTCTAACTAACTATTTCAGTAAGTCATATTTATAGTGTTCTGCAATTTTTATTTTTTTGCTGTAATTTAGCTTGTTGCTTTTATTTTGAGTGTCAGTTATAGTCTGGGTTAAGTAATTATAAGAGTTACCTGTGATTGAATAAGACTGTTTTAAGATATGCAACTTAAAATTATTTTTTCAGAAAAGCACTTAAATGCAGACCAACAGCTCTTCAGAAATCTATCCCTACATCTGAGGTATGGCTCTTTAGATATCCTCAATGCTGAATCAGAGTGGTGGGAGATACAAGAAGAGTGCAACAGTAGAAACTTTCCTTATCCTTTTTATTCCTCCAAAGATTGTAACTACTTGCATCTGATTGCTTTCAATGACAAAGTTTTCCCTTCTGAACTGTCTGCTCTTTCAGGATATGGGTACGTTTTGTTTCATTTTTGTGTATCTTTACTTCATTTCAGTTGCTGTTTTATTTTTTTTGGGGGGGGGGGTCCAAAGTTTATTGTTTGTTTGACAAAAAAAGAAATATTTGTTTGGCACTCAATTTCGTTATTAATTTTTTCTGCTAAGATTATGATGTCAATATGCTAGAAATTGTAAATTCCACTTATCCATTGTATCCTTGTTACTTTCAAACAATTAGTGATATGTACAGAACTACTTTATTTCTTCTTATCAAGTTTATACTTTAATAATTTTAATTAGCTCTTTAGTGATTACTAAATATGTTTTATACAACATACAGTGATGAATATATTTTTAAGTATGTAAATAATTATCAGAAAGATAAAATTAATGTAGTTAAAGTTTTATTTGAATGATGTCATAGTTGTTCTTGGATTCTGCTAAATACTGTTTTGAAAATTTATTACAACGAAGTTTAGTTATTAACTAGACTTTGATTATCTGTGAAATTTGATACTATTTTAGGAAGTGAATTGAAACTCATTGTGTTATGCACCTTTAAGGAAATATACAAAACGTTTGTGTTTAATACTTTCTGATATGTTAAGTATGTCACACTTGTTTAGACACTGTTAAAAATAGTTCTCCTTATGTATTTCAGCATTGTTGGATTATATACCACATTTGTTTTAGTGGTATCCAAAATTCTACGTGGTGCTTTAACAGGCACCAGCTTTAACATCATGTACACTGACATGCCTTGTGTTGACCGTGTGCTTCAACTCTGTTTAGACATCTATCTTGTCCGGGAAAATGCCGAGTTTTCTTTGGAGGAAGACCTGTATGCAAAACTTCTCTTCTTGTATAGGTCTCCTGAAAAACTTATAGCATGGACACGTTATCCATGAGATGATGTGGATCCAAAGCAACGTAAGCTTGTTAATGCTTATTTCAAATGTATTACAAGAAAATGTTAATTTATGTATCGTTACCCTACAGTTAGTAGACTCTAGTGATTACCTTATTTGTATTTAATATTTCAGGTTTTAAAACCTCTAACTTCTTTGATTTTTATTAATCTTCAAAAGAACAAATGTCCTGTGATCTTGAATTTTTGAGGTTGTTCTACAGTCTAAAATCTTTAATAACACTGAATAATTTTCATGGTTATAATGTTGACTTTTTGAACTCCTTATTTTTATATTTTTTTCTTAGTTTCGTATTGTTAATATACAGACTATATGAGCTTTATTTTTTATTCAGAGCTTATTACATCATATTTTTCATGTTTGAAACCTAGCTTTTCTGATTATGAACTTGCAGTTGCTTGATATGTTACCTAATGGTTTTGGAAAAAAATTTAAATTTAATTTTCTATAAACTGTTACACAGATTTGGACCAAACCCAGTATTGAAGCTGTAAACTCACTCATCGCTGGAAAAACAATGTTATTTATTTAAACAAAAAGCAATGTGGATAAATCTGTAAATGGTAATTGTGTTTTCATCCAAACTGTAAAACACATAAAAGAATTAATGAATCTTGAATAGCTTGTTGTAAACCTACTATAATTATTCAAAAACTACTGAAAACTTTTCTAGTTTATTGTTAATAAATATACATAAAATAAAGATATCTTGCCACCAGTATGTTAAATTCTAAAAATTATACACCTACATGCAAGGGTGCCTGCAGAAAAAAATTAGGGGGGATCAAGTAACTCAAGTTTGAAAAAATTATGAAATCGATATAGTTTTCTTCTATGGGAGACTGGAAATTGCCAGAATCCAGGGGGGGTGAGTGACCCCCCTTACCCCTTCCTGCGGGTGCCCTTGCCTACATGTCATTAATGATATAAAAAATCTTTGATGTATATCTTTAGGTTATCAAGAGGTGTTTTCAAACTGTTAACTAAAAAAAACAGAAAACTGAAGCCACATTTGTTGAGTTTTAATTGTTTTAACCTTAGTATGTATACACTTTTCATGTTTTAATCCTATTTTATGTATCTTGATTTAAAATAGATAAATAACATAGTGTTAATAAAAATCATAAACCTAATTTGATGTGCAATGACTTAAATAGATTTAATTGATAAAAATAACAATTCACCAACTTAATCTAGTACACACCAAAACATGTGTTGTTAAAGTAATTGATGTTATAAATAGCATCTCAATGACTGCCATGCAGACTGTATCCCAGTGGCCTGATGAGCCCTGGTATTTAGCAAAAGTCATTGTAGATGCTCGGTGTAGCAGACATAGTGTGGTTGTCATATTATTACACTCTTCTTTTTTACTTTCACTTGTAAGTTCATATAATTACTAATAAATTGGTAGATCACTGGTGCCGTGCATAGGGAACCTGGGTTCAGGTTTTGGTCTTGTCACCTCTTACAGTTCTCTACTTCTAGTTGCTACGATTTGTGTCAGGACTGGGATGAATCAAATGCTTTGGATGGCTCTGATATGTTTTTTGCCTTCCCAGTCTTTAAAAGTTGGACACTGATTTAACTGGTAGAAAACTGAAACATTTAGCATGAAGTCTATGTTCATGTCCTCCTCTCAAATACAGGCTTAGGCTGGTAGAAAACTGATACATTTAGCATGAACTCTATGTTCCAGTCCTCCTCTCAGATACAGGCTTAGGCTGGTAGAAAACTGAAACATTTAGCATGAAGTCTGTGTTCCAGTCCTCCTTTCACATACAGGCTTAGGCTGTTAGAAAACTGAAATGTTTAGCATGAAGTTTAGGTGTAAGCACCTCTTCTGGAATACTAAGTTATCGAGTATAACACTAGAATACTTAACATGAAGTTCTGGATTCAATCCATTTCCTTGCATATATTCATCACTCAACTATTCCTAAACAAAATATTTAAGTTTTATAGAATTCATTATATAATTACTTTATAATCTACAGAGCTTTTAATGACAATCTGAACTCTTAAGGTATAGATTTTGTTTTTAAATAATTTTCTTCCCAAGAGGGAAAAAAATTATCACAGACTATTACGTTTTATCATTTAACTTGAAAGTCAATAGCTATGTAGCATTTACCAAAGTTTCTTTTGAGAACTAAAACCTAAATTCTTTAACCAATATTGTACAAATGGATGAAATATAACAAGATTGTAAGTAGTTACAATTAAGGTAGCTACACAAACCCATGTATTGTAACTTGTCCACAAAAACATTATGCTATTTTTTGAAAAATTTAGAGAAGAAAATAAAGCTAAATGTTACCTCTTTTTATCAATGATTTCTTATAATTGACTTGTCTACATTTGTGGTTAAACACATTCAACACCTCAATCGTGATGTTTTAGAGATATAAATGGTTAACCAGTTTTACCTTAAAGTTAAATTTGCAGGTTGTTATAAATGGTTGATCATTCAACAGTTATAGGTTGTTAGAAGTGGTTATCTTTCAGCAGCAAGTTATTAATCTTTTATCAGCAAGCAATGTACGTAATGATTAACTATGGATGGCTAGCTTATTTGCTTCTGTATAGTAATGAAAAGCAAGAAACAGTTGTTTAACATTGGTGGTTGAATGTTACTTGATGTCTGTATAATGTTTCAAAATGTACTTGTTCTATCGCCGTCCTTATCCTCATGAAATTTCAATATAATCTGTAGACATAGTTAAATATAACAAGTGGGTTTTAAATTGTTTTGTCAGGTATTGTATAATGAACTGTAATTGTCTGTGTCTTGATAAATTAATTCAGAAACGTATTGTCTTAGATAAACTATGCATTTCTCTTGTGAAGTTCCCTATTACATTATATTGTATTAGTATAAACACTATACACTTATGTTCTTGTTTTTATTGATGTATTCAATAATATGGATGTTACAGCTCAATAATGGCTTGATCAAAACTATTGTAATCAATAAATTGAGCTGTTTAAAAATAATGATTACTTTATAATAGCTAGTGGGTTGTATGGATATAATAACTAGTATAAGATTCACTGGAGTGGTTAGGATGAAATGATTATATTTAAAAGCTCAAACATTATTTTATTTTTATCAAGTGCAAAGGAAAGAGGGTTAGTGAAGGAAACTGTAAAAGTTTTAAAGTAAGAAATGGTGATGGTGGTTGTTAGAAAGTTCATGTGTTATAATAGCTTTGGTTTCTTCAACATTATGGAAGCTACAGCTATGTATAATGTGTTTTGCGGTTTCATAACATTCTGTTATTACTGTAATTAGAAAAGAAGTTAAGAAGCTTAACAATTTACATACTTCATTAGAGTGTAGGTTGTGTAGTCAATTTTACATTGAGAAGATGAAGTTTATAACATAACATATAAGTTACAATTTGTTGAATAATGCTAACTTATTATTATCAAGTTATATCAACTAGAATGTGGTTAGTATGTGTGAAACTATGATGAAAATGGAACAATTAGAAAACATGTAATATCAAGTATTTTGAGTGAACTTATGTTAAAAATTACATTAACTAGAACATATATATGTCAAGTGGTTTGTGTGAAGATGTGATGAAACTAGGACAGCTATAATACATGTAATACCAAATGGTTTGTATGAAGGGATGATGAAACTATGTCAGCTGTAATGTATGTATTATCAAATGGTCTCTGTGAAGATATGAAGAAACTATGACAGCTAGAATACATGTAATATCAAGTGGTTTGTGCAAAGAGATGATGAAACTGTCAGCCATAATACATGTAATGTCAAGTGGTTTGTGTGAAGGGATGATGAAATTATGACAGGTATAATACATGAAATGTCAAATGGTTTGTCCATATGGATCCAATTTGTTTTAGAAACAAATATTTCTAAAAGATGTAGAGAGGGGTATAGTGTGGAAACAAGGTGCAAAGGTAGTTTTAATGGTGAGCTAAACTGTTATTAATGTAACACTAGAAACATAAGAAATAAATTTAATGACCTTAGAGCATGGGTCAAAACAGAAGATTTTGATATAATGGAAGTAACTGAGACCTACTTAAATGTAAACAATTTTTATAACACCCTTTTCTGCCAATGAGAAACATGCCTATCTAATATATTTAAGAATTCATTTTACATATATTTCCACATTTGATTAGTATCATGTTCTAATTCATTTGCCCAATTCACAACAGATAATTTTTGTCTCATCTTTTTGAAATTTGGAACCAAAATCTTATTATTCCTTATATCCATATGTGGAAAAACATCACATCTAATTGAGCAATGAACACTTGCACCTAGATGCTCCCCAACCTCTACCCTGTCAACTGTTCTTTTATTAAAAGAAAACTATCCTGAACAGTTTTTAAAAACATGTCTTCTTTATGATTTAACTCTAACATTTCCTAATATTTATGCCTAAAATTAAAATATCCCATGATTATAACCTTATAACAGTTGAATTCTTTATCCCACTCTAATATTTCTCACCAGTTTCATCAGTATCATCTGGTGGTCTATGATAAATTACAACTAAAAACCTTCTCATCTCCCCTTATAACCACTAACAGAAACCCAAACAGATTCAACTTCATTGCTATTACCTTTGATTTCCTCAAGTTGAAGAGGCTGTAACTCACATTTTACTTATAAAGCCATTCCTCATTCTTTTTTTAGTACTCTGTTTTTATTAAACAATCTATAGGCTTGTATTTCAAAGAAATTCATGACTAAAAGTAAAAACCAGGTTGGCCCACAAAGGATAAAATTAAGTAAAAGGATTATAAATGTAAGAAGTTTCAATTGATTGCAATGATAGAGATTTTAAGGATTATAGAAGATCAAGAGAGTTGGTCAAATGGAAAATTAGGAAATTAAAAAAGTATATATAAAAAAAGGCTGGCTGAAAATGTAAAAAGGATTAGTTAGGATTTCTTCAAATACATTAAGGGTAAGCAAAATGTTAGGATGGAAGTAGGACCTTTGAGGGGTGATACAGGAAGGCTAATATCTGATGCCTATGGGATGGCGGGGTATAAAATTTTATTTCTTTTCAGTGTTTACTAATGAAGACTTATGCACTATTCCTCATCCCGAAAAGCTTTTATATGGGAACAAGATGATTAAATTAATTCTGAGTTTTTTAAGAAAAAATTAAAAAGCTAAAGAATTTTAAAGTTATCGGGCCAACACTAACTCAAAACGTCATCCTCTTTAAATAAAAATAAAAAAAACTTGCCAATTGTTTAACTTATTCTTTAATTTTGATATCTTTGTTGCCAATGCAGTTAACTATATATTCCAGATAATATTTACCCAATTGTTTTGAAAGAAGTTAAGAATTGGATATGTGAGTCACTTGCTACTATTTTTTATCAGTCTTTGAATAGTGGGCAGGTGCAAAAAAGATTGTAGGTTGGCTAATATTACCCCTCTTTTCAAGGGCAGTAATAAAAATTGCCCCACAAATTATAGACCTAATCAACATAAGTAGTACTTTGTGCTACCTACAGCTTTATAAACATAAGAATAGAAGAACATGAAGATTATTGCTGAAGTTTGGAAATATAAAAATCAGCTGTTGCCACTCATGTATACCAAAGTGATTACAGAATCAATTTCACAGAAAGTCATTGCAGAACCTAAATATTTTCACCAAATAAATATTATATAATCTATTGAAATAGACAAGAATGCAGACAGACTCGTAGAGAATGATATGGGATTTCAACTGAAACCATTATAGAAAATTTTTTCAATGGAATATGTAAGAAGAAATCAGATTGAGAAACAACACTCGTTAGATGTTGCTGTACACACACAGTATACCCTTGAAAATTACAAACATGGTACATCGGAACTAGTTAGGGTACTGTTAAAACACTAGACATAGACTAATAACAGTCTAATAACATATGATACTACTAAAATACTAGACATTGACAAATAACAGTCTAACAACATATGATACTGTTAAAATACTAGACACTGACAAACAACAGTCTAACAACATATGCTACT